ATTAAAAGGCCCTAAATCAATATTTTCAAATGCATCCATTCTCAATTTAAGCACAAATATGAACAAAATAATATCAACTGATTTCAGTTTTAGTGACTCTTTCTTCCTAGCATATTGCCATGCAGAACTAGGTGAAATGTTGTTGCTCACTATTGATTATATATGAGACTGGCAAACATTAAGTTCACTTATTCATTCTTGGAATTTGTTATTCACTTGAGTATGGATTCAACAAAATTTATTAGGTCATAACTCATAAAAAGCACAGTGCTTGAAGTCATAAGGATCTAGACCCTATCCTTGAGGAATTTACATTTTCATGGACAGACAGAACATGCAAATAATAATAAGTAACCTTAGCATAAGGTAGGAAACATCAAACGCCAGTAGAAAGATACATGACTGTTTGGGGAAATCACAGGAGGTAGAAATTTCTAGAGTGGAGATTCAGAGAATATTCATGGAGAATGTAACCTAAGTGGAGTACTGGAAGCTAAGACTGGGTTAAACAGGAAGAGAAGTTAGGTAGCATCAACCCTCATCAGTAGGTCACAAAGGTGAGTATGGAAATGATAAGAGGTCAGTTCAAGCCCCACGACCAACCAAAAACAAAACAAAAAAAACAACAAAAAGAATGCTACAGGATTAAATGGATTGAACCTCCTGGAGTTATTCAGAAAGAGTTCTAATGTTCTACTGCCGGGCACCAGTGGCTCACGCCTGTAATCCTACCTACTCAGGAGGCTGAGATCTGAGATCTGAGGATCGAGGTTCAAAACCAGACTGGGTAGGAAAGTCCGTGAGACTCTTATCTCCAATAAACACTAGAAAACCGGAAGTGGTGCTGTGGCTCAAGCGGTAGAGCTCTCGCCTTGAGCTGGAGAGTGCAAGGACCGCGCCCAAGCCCAGAATTCAAGCCCCACAACCGACAACAACAACAAAAAAAAGAGGTCAGGAATGGCGAGGCACATTGTCAGAAGACAGATTCTAGGAGATAAAACTTGAAGGAAACTGGAGACTATTTGACAGAGTAAGGCTTTTAGACTTTGACAAGTCTATAGTATGTATCTGTAATGCTAGATAAACAGGACATGGAAGCCATGTGGTGAAGGGGATAAGGCCAACCCTAGCAAAGACCCTAATTCAAAAGTAAAATATATACCAACAAGATAGGGGTATGGGGGGCTGGGAAGGTGGCTCAGTGGTAGAGCGCTTGCCTTGCATGCCTGAGGACCTGGGTTCAATTGCTCAGCACCACATAAGCAAAAAGAAAAAAAGCCATAAGTGGTGCTGCGGCTCAAGTGGTAGCGTGCTAGCCTTGAGCTGAAGAGCTGAGGAACAGCGCCCAGGCCCAGAGTTCAGGCCCCAAACTGGGTCAAGATAGGGGTATGACTTAAAGGCCCAGGTTCAACCTCTAATATTAAAAAAAAAGATGGTACTAGGAAAGTATTGAGATCTATCACCCCTCAAACAAAACAAAACATTTTTTGAAATAGCTTCCTATGTATAGAAGAATTGCAAAGATAATACAGCTCTTACTCTCTAGAATGTAGTCAATATAAATTTTCTGCTCTTTATTGTGACTTACTTATATAACATTCTCCTATGGTACCCTCCTCTCTCGTAGCTAATGTGGCGTGTCTTGGTGTTTTCCTTAATTAGATATGCAAAAGTCGTGTCTTTCTCATTTACCTTTTCAAAGACATCGGTTTTGATTTTCTTAACCAAGTTTGCTAGTTTTTGCTCCATTTCATCAATTGTCATAAATTCCCCTAAAGCTATTGATCCATTAAAAATGTAAACAGTAGATATCCTTAGAAAATTGTGAGAGGATATTGATCCTCCAAATAGATATAAAAGGAGCAAGCAGGACACAAGAAAGTTAACATTGGTCTGCCAAGTTAGAATAACATAAACAAAAAATAAAACAGTAAATAGAGGAGAAAGCACAAATCAAAAGCAGACTAGTAAAGAATAGCAAAGCTGAAAAATAATAAAGAATGGTGAAAGGATGAGATGGAAAAAGACGGTACAGGAGAAGAGATAAATCCTAAAGGTGAAATACCAATTTAATAATAGTTCTAGAAAGAGACAGAAGAAAACAGAAGCAATTTCTTTGGGCTAGAACAATCACAAACTTTCAGAATGAAATGTCCCATCACATTCTCCACAAGATCATGACAAAGAATCACGTAGTTCTGAGGCTGTGCAGCAGTCTGCTTAAAAGATAGGTCCAGGCAGGTGCTTTCATAATAGTGCATTTATATATGAACCTATTTCTAAAATGAGATTTTCCTTGTGTGTTGTTCTTGTGCTCTTGTTTCTTTTGTCATCTGAATTACTTTGCTCATTTGTTCACTTGCCTTTTTTCTTATAAAATTTTATTGTTGTTATTTTGCTTCCTAAGTGCAGTCCACCAAATTCTGGCCCATCTCTTCAGGGTATTTGAGGATTATTTGAATATTAGGACTCAGCCTTAGTGGTCTTTCCCAGTTTTAATTACAGCTTAGATTTCAGGAAGCCCTGGTGACAATTAAAACAGAACAGCTTCCCCATTTCCCCCAAGCAGACCTTCATTGCTTGTCTGTAGTGGGGTTGAGTGCAGATCTCTGCATCTCAGTCTCAAGCTATCTATAATCTTCACATTTCAGAGAAGTGAGTTTTTTTCATTCTTTTATTTCTTAACTCCCAAACCATTCCTAACATCAATTCTTGATCTTCTCATGCTATGTATATTCACTTGGTGGTAATTCCTATAGCCATAGCTGCAGTTCAGATATTTAGAAATACAATTCATATTTCTCTGGAATTTCAGGTCATGCTTTTTGTCTGGGTTGAACTTCTCTGTCTGGTGGGTCCCTGACATGTCATGCTGACTCTGTTTTCATTCCCCACAGTCCCCAATTTTCTTCCTCCTTTGTTCCTTGGCCAGTGGTTAAGGCCAAAGCTGGGGTGCATCCCAAATCCTGAATCCCATGCTACAGAAGCTCTTTCACTTTTCCTTCCTAACTATACTACATATTCAGCTCATCTGAATGGGCATTGAATGAGTAATGGGTGCTCATCACTCATCTCCTGTCAGCCTCTTCATTTTTAGCTTAATTTACATATAAAGCGTTTTTATGACACTTCCACAGTGATCCTTCTGAAACACATTCAGAGGCTCTGTTCTTATACAACATAGAACCTTTACTCCTTTGCAAGACATTGTGCTCTCTTAACTGTCCCCCAAATGTACTTTCCCATGGATCTTTGCCATACAGACTGACACTTACGCTCCCATAATTCTGAACGTGCTTGTGGTTTGTTTTTTGTTTTTCCTTGACGAATGCCTCTGCACACACCATTCCTCATGAAGAGAATAATGTCAGCTTTCCTTTTCTGACTGGCCAACATACCCTTAGCTGCTTGTCTCAGCGTGCACTTACATTCCTTAGAATCCTTTGATGTCTAGGAATTATGGGTTTGTGATCTATTTATTAAGTTAAACCCTTCTTCACTCCATGAAGGATTTGAGACTATGTAAAACATCTACCAGGCCACAGGGTAAAATAAATGAGTAAGGCAATAAATTTAAAGGGTTGAGTACAGTAGAAATATGAATAATATCAGTTATGATATTAGCCTCAAAATATGACATTAAGTTCTATAGACTTGTACTATAAAAACATATGCTGATAGTTTGCCTGTGGACTTTTTAGTTGTCAAAGATAAGAAAGAAAATTGATGGTATATGAATTTCCCAAAGTTCGTAGCTATAAGAAACATATCTGTGCCAGTTACTGAAAATTAAGAGTTTATTACATTAAAGAGGTACTTATAAAGGAGACTCATAAAATTGAAGTTCTTTTCCTATGCTTTCATTAACCCTTAGATATGGCTCTATAGTTACTATAACTTTTTGTGCATTGATCTCTTAGGTTATAGACCCTATTCTTAGATGACTGCTTGATAGTTCTTAGTCAATGAGTATTTGTTACATACAGTATAGCCAGATATAAACAGTAATATAGGCAAATGTTTTTGTGTAACCATATAACTAGAAAGAAATTATTCATTTATATACCCTCATCAGCATAAAAATTTAACCAGGTGGCTGATTTATTTTTAATTTTTTAATTTTTTTATATTTTTTATTTTTGCAAGTTATGGGGCTTGAACTGGATGCTGTCCTTCAGCTCTTCAGCTCTTCAGCTCAAAGCTAGAGTTCTACCACTTGAGCCACAGTGCCACTTCTGTCTTTTTCTGCTTATGTGGTGCTGAGGAATAGAGCCCCGGGCCTCATGCATGCAAGGCAAACACTCTACCAATGAGCCACCTTCCCAGTCCTCTTTAAAATTTTTGTAAGAATGATGTAGAAACTCCTCTAAGGCTTATACAATATACTATACTTATACTATACTTATATAGTATATATACTACTTATACATCTCATAATATCTCTAAATATCTCATATGCACATTTTACATGACTTCCAACCATCTCTGTCAATATTATTTTGTATCTCAAAGTTGGGGAATTTGGGGAGTTAATTCAGTTTCTCAAGGGTATTACAACAGATAGAGGAAAAAGTTGGCCTAAGCAAAGGTGATCCAGTTTTCAATCTTCTGTTGTTGATTCATGCTCTTTTTGCATCCTATGTTAATTAAGGCACATAATATTTGATTGCAAAATTCCTGGAAGTGGAGGCTTCAGACTGTTGGAAAGGTTTCGCTACTGTTTCCTTGTTTTGTAAATTCTATTCCAGAGTCTTTGTTGAAAGAGAAAGCAGCAGTGGCCACTTAGTCTATAAAAAGTACGTGACAAATTCATGTTTTAGAAGGCAATATGAGAGCATATCCCCAGAACATCTGATTGATTTTTCAGCAAATATAGTAGCATATGGCACAATTTTGCTTACTCTCTCCAAACAAAGTAAGTTCATCATTTTACAAATGACTCTGTTGTTCCTATTTTAACCCAGTTAACTTTCACTGAACACTTGATGGCTGCTCCTTACCTGAAAGTTGCCAAAGCAGCTTCCCCCCGGAAGAGTTACATAGCTCACAAAGGGGGGCCCAGACGATGGCAGGGACTCATACACCACCAGGCCTTCACTGGGAAAGGAAGCTCTCTGCTGCTGCTTGCTTTCCCAGAACTCCTGTAACATTGACACAACATTCACTGCAAAAGACAAGACACATCACCAATTATTAGTGAGAATGGCCATGCACAAGAAAAAGAAAAATTTGAGACTGGATTCTGTAACATGCAATTTTCATCTGAGCTGAGTCTCTAAGATGTGGCCTTCTTTTAGCTATTAAAGAACATGCTTTACATATATTTAGAATATGTTAAGAATACAATATTAAAGCTGGGCACTGGTGGCTCACACCTAATAATCCTAGCTTCTCAGGGGTCAGAGATCTGAGGATCGTGGTTTGAAGCCAGCCTGGGCAATAAAGTCTGTGAGACTTTTATTTTTATTTTATTGTAAAGATGCTATACAGAGGGGTTACAGTTACATGAGTAAGGTAATGAGTACATTTCTTGTCAAACATTGGTACCTACTCCTTTGTTTTTCTCCCACTATCCCTTTCCTCCTCTCCACTCCCCACCCCCACCTCCCATGACCCCTTAAGACTTTTATCTCTAGTAAACTACTCAGAAAAAGCCAGAAGTGGCAATGTGATTCAAGGATAGGGCTCAGGCCCTGAGCTTAAGCCCCAGGACTGGCAAACACACACACACACACACACACACACACACACACACACCCCAATATTAACACACATGTATATTTCTTAATGAACAACTCTCAGTTTTAATACTCAAATTCTAACAACAGTGATCATAACAGAATACTTTATAAATTAATACTAATATAAAAATGTTAAATCTCGTTTCTCTGTTTGAAATTTTGCTTTAACAAAACTTTGTTCAGCTGGAGCTGGTGGCTCACATTTTTAATCCTACCTGCTCAGGAGGCTGAAATCTGAGGAATGCAGTTGGAAGCTAGCCAAGATAGGAAACTTCATAAAACTCTTACCTCCAATGTAACCACCGAAAAGCCAAAAGTAGGATGGTGGCTCAAGTGGTAGAGTGCCAGCGTTGAACACAAACACTAAGCACCAAGATTATTGTGACTCTCTCTCTTACTTCTCATCGATTCTTGAGCTTTCAAAGTGAAAGCCAAATCGCAATATAAAGATGTAAGCAATTTAATTTTAATCTGTATTCACCATTCAGAAGGAAGAAAATTCCCTCTGCTTCATGCTAAAGAAGAATGGAAATCCGTTGTGGAATAAGCAAAGAGGATGGAAAGAGCCATGGCTGAGACTGGTAACATGAAGACCTTGTTAAGGACAAGGCCTGTTAGATGACTTCAGACAATGCAGGAATGGCCAGTGACATGTGTTTTAGATTAAATGACCTGTGATAGCCTGCAGAAGTTCCAGATCAAATTAGGCTGGTTTATTTATCCTGTACTGCAAATTGAATTGGGAAAATTAACAATGATAATAGAATTTTAGAGTCAAAACTGACCTTATGAGTCATGTAGGCAAAGCTCTACTGAATGCAGGAATTCTTGTAAACACTCCTTATAACTGCCCATCTGGCCTGTACCTGAACATATAGAAGAACCTGGCATTTGCTACATCTGAAGCAACCTCTTTCCACTGCTGATAGTTTTGAGTACAGGGGAGCTGCAATCTGATTTTCTATGGCTTGTAGAAGGAACTTACTTCTCACTTCTGGGGCTTGAAAATGGTTTATCTCCTTACTCACAGGATAGCATATCACATATTTGAAGGCAGTGTTGGACATCTGTTGGTTTTTGTTGTAGTTGTTGTTTTGATTGACATTTACTTACCTTCTTGTGTGAATAGACCACAGGTTTACCTTAAGGAATCACAGCCTCCAGGGGAACTGGAGATCGGGCCAAAATCAAGCTATTTTGAGGTAAACAGCCAGGGACTTTTGTTCAAAGTTTCTTCCTTTACACAAAGATCATTGTGGGAATAAATCAGGAAGGAAAGCAGGCAAGAGAAGGAAATCAACACAGAGAAGTATAGAGCCAAGAAATGGAGATAGAAAGACTTTTCTTGCCAGACACCAGTGGCTCATGCCTATGATTCCTAGCTAGTAAGGGAGATCTGAGAATTGCAGTTTGAAGCCAGACCAGAAGACAAATCTGAGAGACCCTTACCAATGAACCAGCAAAAAGCCAAAGTGGAAGCCTCGTTCAGGTGATAGAGCACCAGCTGTGAGTGACAAAGTTGAGCAAGGGTTCAAGAAAAGAAAGGGTTCAGTACAAGAAAAGAAAGAAAGCAAGAAGACATGGAAGAAAGGGAGGAAGATGAGAGAAAAGAAAGGAATGAATAAAGGGAAAGGAAAAAAGAAGAAAGGAATGAAGGAAAGGAAGGGAAAGGAAGGGAAGGAAGGGAAAGGAAGGGAAAGGAAGGGAAAGGAAAGGAAAGGAAGGGAAAGGAAAGGAAGGGAAAGGAAAGGAAAGGAAGAAGCAAGTAAGCTTGAGCTTTTTCTCCTAACTTCATACAAATTCAGGATCCTTGATTGAGTTTACTTTTCCTTTAAAACATTTTGAATTGACATCTTTTATTTGCATATAAGAGATTTGTATTTAGCGCAGTGTCAGATCAATTTCCTAGAATGAATGAGGGCCTTCGTTAGATCTCTGGCTCCAGAAATACACTATAACACACACACACACACACACACACACACAAACACACACACACACACACACATGCACACACGCATGCATACACCAATACAGGAAATTGTATTTTTTTTTAATTCTAGATGATCACTTTTGCTGTCTCAAACATTTTTTGTGTAAGATAATATTTATGCCCTTTGCTTTTATGGTCAATACATTCTTGGACATGCTTCAAAATGTTGGATATTGATAAGTTCCTATGAGTCAGGAATATTGCAGAACTTGATTTGGAGTAAAAAACATTGGGTTATCATTTTCTGAGCTGTTAATAAAACACTGGTGTCTTTTACATCCTAACTCACATCATTGATCACCTACACGGTGCCATTCTGTGTTATAAATGATTGTGTTTAGTATTTTAAAAAGTTGAGAGACTATCACACAATCAAAGAATATATAAAATGAGTAAAATACATATGGAAGGGATCATATTGAAACGTGGTCACTGTAGAGCCTTTAATTTCATTTATAAATGTTGAAACAGAACTTTCCACCTGTTTCTGTAAAATAGAATGCTCAGATTGTAAGCCATATTTCTGTCCCCCGCCCCTTTCTCCTTCGCACTTCTGAGGAAACAGTGATATATGAACTGACTGATTTGTGTCTCTACTTGCAGTTGACCTTCCGAATTCAGCAGAGATGTTCTGAAGTCTGAACCCTGAAATGTAGCCAGTGGCCTGCTGCTCTGCTAGTCATCAAGGGCCATTAGTTTCCTATTTTAATTCCATTTATCACTGAATGAGATTAAGTTGAGAACTAAAATATAGGAAGCAGAGAAATCATGATTAGATAACATGAACGGAAGAATTTTTGGCATAAACAGCTCCTTGGATTACAGAATGTGAAGGCATGCCTTAAGTAGTAATTCTGTATAAATAAAAGCTATAACTTTCAAAATTTTTGCTCTGCAACTTCATAAGATTTCTTTGATGGTACCACAGATGTCATCACCCTTAAGAAGTCCAACATATGGGTCTGCACACACACCATCCATCTTTCCATCTCTACATACTCTTATTGACTACAAAAACAGACAAATAGAGTGAGGAGGGATAAAGGCCAACTTGCTGTTTGAAATCTCAAAGATTGGTGTATCAGACGATGAGGTATTTATGAAACACATGTGCCTTTTTTTTGAGGTATCATCAGCAAGCTATATGGACATCTCAAAGAAAATATGCGCAGAGGGACAGGTGCTCAGAGGAAAATGGTGAATAGTATGAGGCTATCCTTCACTGCAGTTTAGCATTTAGCTGCCCACACTTAATGACTCCACCTTCCATGAGGTGCTATTGTCATCTTTATATACAAGGATACCTCTGTGAAAGTGTCCAGCTCCACCTTCATTCCTACAGTCTCAAATGAATTGTGATGCTGCTTCTCCTGGCAATTATTCTCTTAGTTCTCTTGATTCATTTTCAAGCATTTCCTCTTTATTTAGTATTTTCAAACTTCTGTAAGTATGCTTAAGACAATGACTTAATGAATAAATACACAAAAATGTTAAATGAAACAATCTTGGAACTATTTCTGGTTACTCATTATTAACATTTTCTCAGTGTAGCCAATCTGCTAGAAACAATATGCTACATTCTCATATTTGTACATGATTTTATATGACCATATTTCTCCCTGATTATGATTCTCTCTAATAATTTCTTGTAGGTATTACATGGATTTCTCTTCCTCGGCTCATTCTTCATGTTTGTATCCATGAGAACCTTGCTTTGCTTTCTCTTGTTTCTCTCTGCTGTTCTCCTGGAGTGGTGGGTCCTTCTATCTCTATGGTATGTATCATAACACTCAACAACAGCTCCCAAACTTCTCTGCTTTGAATCAGACTTTAGTAATCGATACTTCTAGTTGCATGATATACAAATTCAAAATATTTCCATAGTCAACTTACTTCCTTTTCCATAGATTCTTTCCTTCCTTCTAAATTCCTTGGAAATTGATGTCATCATCAACACATTGACATACTCACTAATCATAAATCTTAAATTAACCCATATCTTCATTTCCTCTCCATATCTAATTAATGCATATGTTTTTGTCTCCCAAAGGCATCATTGCTTCTTGGTCCAAACTAATGTTGTGCTGCATTAGCCCAAATCATATTAGCTCACTAAGTGATTCACAAAACCCTCGCGATTCTGGTCATCTATCATCCAATCGATCTTCCCAGTGTTTCCAGAGTAACATTTTAATTGCACAGCTCATCAGATCCTTCAGGTCTTAAAATTCTTCTGTGATTCCTTCATTACCTGTGGCATAAATAACTCCTTGACAAGGCATAGAAGATCCTAATCTATTCATTTTCCTTTCTCCAACTTCATTGTCTGGCTGTTCATTGCCCCTGTAATTCCTATAGCATTGGCGATACTCATATCTGCTTTCATCCCGTGGCAATGCCTTCCCACTGCCCAATATCTTCTTGGATGTA